TTGCCCAGGCAGGTCTCAAACCCGTGAGCTCAGGCAATTCACTCACCTCGGCCTCCCAAATCGCGGGATTACAGGCTGAGCCACCGAGCCCGGCATGATTGACTCTTTAAGGGTAGGGCTGCGTGACTTTACCCTTGCCTGGCATGGCCTCAGGTCCTGTTTATAATTATGTATCTTATTGCCATAGCAAGTGCATTCCATTGGATTTATGACTTTTTGGAGTCAGTCGGAGTTTCACAGTGGCATGCTCTCAGCCACCGCAGCCTCGAACTGCTGTGCTCAGGTGATCCTTCCGCTTCAGTCTTCCAAGTAACTAGAACTACAGGCATATGCCATGATACCTGGTTAATTTAAAAAAAAATTTTTGGGCCAGGCTCGGTGGCTCAGCCTGTAATCCCAGCACTTTGGGTGGCCGAAGTGAGTGGATTGCCTGAGTCCCTGAGTTCGAGACCAGTCCGGGCAACTTGGCAAGACCTCGTCTCTACAATAAATCAAAAAATTAGCCAGGAGTGATAGCGCACACCTGTAGTTCCAGCAACTTGGAAGGCTGAGGCAGAAGAATCGCTGGAGTCTAGCAGGTCGATGCTGGAGTGGCTGTGAGTGTTCCACTGCACTCCAGCCTGGGCAACAGAGTGAGATTCCGACTGAAAAATAAAATAATAAAAATGTTTTGTAGAGATGAGGTCTTACTATATTGCCCAGGCTGACCTCGAACTCCTGGGCTCGTGCCATCCTGCCACCTTGGCCTCTCAAATCCTGGTATTACAGGTGTGCACCACCATATCTGCCCTGGAGTTTCTAATGATTTCTTTCTTTTCTTTTTTTGATCAGAGTCTCACTCTGTCACCCAGGCTGGAGTGCAGGGGCACACTCACAGCCACCAAAGCCTCGACCTGCTGGGCTCTGGTGATCCTTCTGCCTCAGCCTTCCAAGTAGCTGGAACCACAGGCATGTGCCACCACGCCTGGCTAATTTTTTGCTTTATTGTAGAGATGAGGTCTCGCCAAGTTGCCCAGGCTGATCTCAAACCCCTGGGCTCAGGCAATCCTCTGGCCTCAGCCTCCCAAAGCGCTGGGATGACAGGCCGGAGCCACCACGCCTGGCCATGGCTTCCATTTTAACAGTTTCTGGCTCCATGCGGCATGCACACAGATGCCAAGACCAAGGCCCAATGAGACTTGCAGAGACACAGGCAGGCAGAAAGAATCACCGGCAGCAGAGACTGCGTCAAGGACACAGAGAGAAAGAGCCCGCAGAGACCTAAAGAGGGGGGGAAACGCAAGTGCCAAGGAGGACAAAAGAGAGACACGGCAAAGCAGAGATGAAAGACCCTGCAGGAGACAGAATCAGAGGCACACAGGGGGCTGCAGGCTAAAGAGATATCCCCAAAACTCTAGAAAGAGACCGAGAGAGAGGCAGAGACTGGGTCACAGGCAGAGAGAACCTCACAGGGAGACTGACCTCTGACAGACACTGAGTGAGGCAGGTGCGCAGAGACCCCCATGAGATGCAGAGACAAAATGCTCCAAGAGACATGCCAAGCGAGGGGCACCCCGAGGGGCTGGGAAGAGACAGATGCAGAGAGAGCCCCAGAGCGACCCCGAAAAAGGCACCAACAGACACACAGAGAGCGAGACCATGAGAAACAGGGAAACAGAGAAGTCCGTGGTTGAGGAGGCCTGCTCTCCAGGGCTGGCTCTAACCTGGAGTTCAAGGTCATGACCCGGCTGGGCAGGGAGAGGGGGATACCAAAAAGGATCCGTGTCAGATGGAGTGGGGGGTGGGGAGGGCAGGTCTTGCCAGACTGACTGACACCCCGTCCCCTCCCCTTCCCTCCCCCACCACACCTGCTCCCCCACTTTAGCGCCTGCTGTCACCAGGGTGGAATCCTGGTGTCAGACAAAGGGATGGGGGTGGGGAGAGGAGACCGAGATGGACAGAGACAGAGACCACAGACACGGGGGTCTAGGATAGACGGCCGGACAGATGTGGAAAGGGGGGCAGCGAGAGGAAACGGGGGCACCCCTTGTCACTAAACATTCGCTGAGGACCTACTGTGTGCTGGGACCCAGGATGTGGCACAGCCCCGTGGGAACCCTGGGGACGCCAGACCCAGCCAGGGCTCCAGGGGGTAGGGGAGGGGCCTCAGAGCGCTAGGGGTGCTGGGACCCTTAATTATGTAGCCAGGGCTGGCGGGGCAGTCCCTGAGCTCCCAGACTCGCTTTGAGCAGAGGAATTCTTGCCCCCTCCACCCGGGGGCGGGGCTCAGCTTCCAGCTATAATCCCCCCTTGGGGCGTTTCAGCCCCCACATCCAGGCTCAGCCCCGGGACACACAGCAGCTGCAGACCCAGGCTTAGGTAAAGGGCTCTGGGGTCCCCACAGGGAGTGTCCTTGGGGAAGGGGACAGGAGAGGGTGGGAAATATGAGGGTGTGGGGGAAGAGGTGTGAAGGAAGGGGGACTTACAGATGCCTGTAGTCGCAGCTACTCGGGAAGCTGAGGGGGGAGGTTCCCTGAAACCCAGGAGGTCGAGACTGAGGTGAGTTATGATGACGCCGTTGCACTCCAGCCTGGGTGACACAGTGAGACCTTGACTAAAAAAAAAAAAAGTCTAGGTACCTGAGAGGTTCAGAGTTTAGGGAGACTTGATGGAGGGAAAAGTGTTAGGATTTGTGGGTTATAGGATCTTGGGTGCCAGGATTTGCATGTCCCAGAATATAACCTCCTTGGAATCGGGGAAGCTGGGAGTCTGGGTGAATCTCAGAAATCAGGAAGACTATCTGGGCGTGGAGGTCAAAGTCCAGGTCTCTGGATTTGGGGTCTCAGACTTTGAGGATGGCAGAATAGGGGAAGACTCGGAATCTGGAGGTCTTAGAGTCTGAGGTTGGGTGATAGAAAGCTCCAGCATTTGTAGTGTCATAATCTGGAGCATCATAAATTGAACCCCTGAGTTTGAGTATCAAGATTTAGGAGGTCTTGAGATATGGGGGCGGGTCTTGGGATGTCAGGACCCATACCTGGACTATCAAGAATTGGGGTCTGAGAATCTGGAGACATGAGGAATTACTGTTAGAAACCAGAGGCACCAACGATGGGGGTCTCAGAATCTGTGGGTACTGGAATTTGGGGGTCTTTTAACCCAGGCACCTTGGAGCCTGGGGGATCTCAAAGAGTTGGGGGTCTAAGATTTAGGGGTCAGGATGAAGTCTACGGGTGGAAGCTGGTCTTGGTGAACCCGACCCCACCACGGATGTGGGTGACTGTGAAAGAGGGGACGGGTGGGGAAGAAGGACAGTGCCAGAAGCCCCCCCCCACCCCAAATCCCTTCTTAGGAAATGTCCTCTGTTTCACCATCCACGACATTCCCCAAAATAGCCCCTGGGGGTGGGGTAGCTATTGTCTTCAGGCCACAGTCCCTTCCAAATACCTCCTAATCCCCAGTGGGATCGGGTTCCCAAGGCCCAGTCAGAAGACAAAAGAGGACAGCTGTGCTGAGGGGCGGGGTCTGCAGCCTTGGGGCTGTGCCTGGCCCCCACCAAGTGTGCCTGTCGTCAGGCGAGTTTCAGGAATCTGGGTCCAGCCCCTCCTCCCTCAGACCTGAGACTCCAGCTCCCCCTCTTCCCTCAGACCTAGGGATCCAGACCCCCAGCTCCCTCCTCCCTCGCACCCAGGAGACCTGGCCCTCAGTGCTCCCTGCTCCTTGGGGCCCAACCCACTGGGCCTCTTCTCTGGTCTGTAGGTCACACCAGGATGTCGGACACGGAGGAGCAGGAATATGAGGAGTGAGTGATCTGGGCGGGAGAGGCTGGGGCTTGAGGTGGAGAGACCCTCCCTGCAATGCATCTAACCTGCCCTCCCTTCTCTCCCCTCCACCTGCCCTCAGGGAGCAGCCAGAAGGTGAGTGGGGCGTGGACCTAGGGCACTGGGACACCTTCTGGAGTCTTAGTCAGTGGGGGGGTTTCAAGGCGTTTCCCAGGCCAGTCTCTGCACACCCCACGGGAAAAGCTCCCTTACCCATCCTCAGCCAGGGGAGACTCGAACCCCAGTCTCTGGCCCCTCTCTCCCCCCCATCTCCTAATGCTTTCTCCTCTCTGCCCCATCTCCTTCTAGAAGAGGAGGCTGTGGAGGAAGAGGAAGGTGAGGGCTTGGACTCTGCAGGTCTGGAGCTGGACGCAGGGGAGACGGGTTGGGGTGGGGGGCGCGCGGGGCCGCTTGGGCAGGAATATG